CATGGACTAATGATCTAGAGGGGAAAACATACAATAAAAGGAGATTCAAATATTAGCATTGACAGAAAAAGTCTTAAAATAATAGTTTAGGAACTTCCTGAATGAAAAAAAATTTAAACTTTTACTGATTAATATATGAAACATTTAAAAAGATGAAAAGATGGATAACTTCAACAGTAACATTAACATGTATAAAAATTCAAATGGACATTCTGTCACTGAATTAACTCAGTGGATGAATTTAACATCTAATCAGATGCAGCAGAAAACTAAGATAGGTCAATTAAAATATTCAGAAAAGGCCAGGTGTGGTGGCTCACGCCTGTAATCCCAGCACTTTGGGAGGCCAAGGCAGGTGGATCACGAGGTCAGGAGTTCAAGACCAGCCTGGCCAAGATGGTGAAACCTCGTCTCTACTAAAAATACAAAACATTAGTGGGTCATGGTGGCAGACACCTGTAATCCCAGCTACTCAGAAGGCTGATGCAGGAGAATCGCTTGAACTTGGTGGGGGCAGGGGGAGTAGGGTGAGTGGGGGATGGAAGTTGCAGTGAGCTGAGATAGTGCCACTGCACTCCAGCCTGGGCGACAGAGTGGGACTCGATTTCAAACAAACAAAAATTTAGAATGAAGTACAAGAGAAAAATGAGAGGGAAAAGGTAACCAGGCAGCTTCAGATAACAGGACACAGTCAGATGGTCTAATATATGTATAACTGGAGCCACAGATGGTGCAGGGACAGAGAGAACAAAGCAAATTTAACATTTGAGGAGATAATGGCCAAGAATTTTCCAAAAATGATGAAAATAATCCCAGATAAGTAAAAAGAAAAGTACACATAGGTTCATTATCAGTTACACTGCAGAAATCCAAAGATGGGGGTGAAACTCTTGAAGCAACTAGAGAAAAAACACACAGTACCTTCATAGCAATAATAATTACAGTAACAACTGACACCTCAACAGAAAAAATGAAAGAAGACAAGGAGAAAAGATCCAAGGGCCGGGCACAGTGGCTCACGCCTGTAATCCCAGCACTTTGTGAGGCCAAGGCAGGTGGAGTGCTTTGAACTCAGGAGACTGAGACCAGTCTGGGCTTACATGGTGAAACCCCGTCTCTATTAAAAAAAAAAAGACAAGAAGAAAAGATCCTTAAAATGTTAAAAGAAAAATAAAAACCCAGGCAACTTAGAATTCTATAACAAAAAATTGTTAAATAACTATATTTATAGACAAAAATTGACAGATTTAGTCACGAGCAGCCCTGCATTAAGAGAAACACTAAAAGGGGCTCTTCAGGTAGAAGGAAAACAATTATGATTCCAGACAGAATCCTAGTAATAAAAATAATAAAGAGCTCCCCAAGTAGTAAATATGTGCATGGGTATAAATTAATATTGTGTGTACAAAGCAGGACTAGTAAGGTGCCATAGAATTAAAAAAATATATACAATTAAAATGCACGAAAGCAATGAAAACGATAGGAGGGAGGTAAGTGGACTTAAGGTGTTTTAAGGTTCTAGGTTTGTTAAGAAGTAGGAAAAATAATGATTTCTTTTAGATTGTAAAAAGTTAAGTCTGCATGTGTAATTTCTAGGTTAACCACTAAGAGAACGTATAACAATGAGGGAAAAATAGAACAATAAACAAAACATTATTAACTTTTTTAAAGGCAGGAAAGGAAAAAATATATAAACTAGGTGAATTAAACAGAAAAGACAGCTGGGCTTGGTGGCTCACACCTGTAATCTCAGCACTTTGGGAGGCCGAGGCAGCTGGATCACTTGAGGTCAGGAGTTTGAAACCAGCCTGGCCAACATAGTGAAACCGTGTCTCTACTAAAAATACAAAAAAATTAGCTGGACACGAAGGCAGGCACCTGTAATCCCAGCTACTTGGGATTACAGTAAGCAGGAGAATCACTTGAACTTGGGAGGCAGAAGTTGCAGTGAGCCAAGTTTTCACCACTGCACTCCAGCCTGAGCAGCAGAGCAAGACTGTCTGAAAAAACAAGCAAAAAACAGAAAAGAAATACAGTCATGCATCACTTAATGATGGGAATACATTTTGAGAAGTGCATCATTAGGCAATTTTGTCATGAGAACATGACAGAGTTTATTTATACCACCTAGTGGTATAGCTTACTGCACACCTAGGCTATGTGGATATCTAATTGCTCCTAGGCTACAAGTCTGCACAGTATGTTGCTGCACTGAATACTGTAGGCAATTGTGACACAATAGTAAGTATCTGTGTATCTAAACATACAGAAGGGGCTGGGCATGGTGGCTTATGCCTGTAATCCCAGCAGATTTGGAGGCCAAGGTGGGTGGATCACCTGAGGTCAGGAGTTTGAGACCAGTCTGGCCAACATGGTGAAACCCCATCTCTACTAAAAATACAAAAATGAGTCAGGCATTGTGGCAGGTGCCTGTAGTCCCAGGAGGCTGATGCAGGGGAATTGCTTGAACCCGGGAGGTGGAGGTTGTTGTCAGCGGTGATAGCACCAGAGCACTCCAGTCTGGGTGACAGATCAAGACTCTGTCTCAAAAAAAAAAAAGGCTGAGAACTACTCAGGAGGCTGAGGCAGGAAAATCGCATCGCATGAGCCTGGGAGGCGGAGGTTGCACTGATTTGAGATCATGCCACTGCACTCCAGCCTGGGTGACAAGAGCAACTCTGTCTCAAAAAAAAAAACCCAAATACTCATTACGATCATATGGGACCTCCATCATATATGTGATCTGTCATTAAAATGTTATGTGGCACATGACTGCAGAAGCATGGTATGTATAAACCTTGCTAGCTTTTTGGAAAGCTTTGCTTTTAGGAGACAACATTTGAATTGAACCCTGAAAGATAAGGAGTTAAAAGTTGAAGACAGCACATTCTTGGCAGAGGAAAACAAGTATACAAACCTGAGGTAGAATATAAAAGACTCAAAGATGACATATTGTAACCACTCCCACCCTTGTTTTTCTTTGAGAGGCTAACGGTATTAGCAAATAAGCTACATTTTTGATATTGCTTTTTTTGTTTTTGAGATAGTCTTGATCTGTCATCCAGGCCAGAGTACAGTGGCATGATCTCAGTTCCCTGTAGCCTTTAATCCCTAGGCTGAAGCAATCCTCCTGCCTCAGCCTCCTGAGCAGCTAGGACTACAGGAGCCTACCACCATGCTGGCTAATTTTTTTATTTTTAGTTTTTGTGTAGAGTTAGGGTCTCTCTGTGTTGTCCAGGCTGGTCTCAAACTCCTAAGCTCAAGTGAGCCTCCCGCCTCGGCCTCCACAGTGGTAGGATTACAGGTGTGAACCACCACATCTGGTCTGATACTGCATTGTTAGCTAAGGAATCTCTGCCTTTGAAGTCGTTCTCCACTCACCACCCTGATTATTTCCTTCCTAGCAGTGATCACAATCTATATTTTTGCTTACTTGTTTAATACCTGTCTCACTTGCTAAAATGATTGGGTTCTTGAGGGCAATGATCTTGTCCACTGTCCGTTGCTGTATTGGTTAGCCAATGCTTGACACACTAATGAATACTTACAGGGTGACTGAATCTTACAAAAACATATCCTTTCAGATTTGAAGTTAATTGGCAGACTGGATAGCAAGAATAGTTTTTATATTTGTATTTGCTGTACAAATGGAGATGGAGTTTTGCTCTTGTTGCCCAGGCTGGAGTGCAGTGGTATAATCTTGGCTCACCACAACCTCTGCCTCCCAGGTTCAAGCCATTCTCCTGCCTCAGCCTCCCAAGTAGCTGGGATTATAGGCATGTGCCACAACGCCTGGCTAATTTTGTAATTTTAGTAGAGATGGGGTTTCTCCATGTTGGTCAGGCTGGTCTTGAACTGCCGACCTCAGGTGATCTACCTGCCTCGGCCTCCCAAAGTGTCAGGATTACAGGTGTGAACCACTACACCCAGCCTATAAGTTTATTATTATTATTATTATTTTGGAGACAGAGTCTTGCTCTGTCGCCAGGCACCAGGCTGGAGTGCAGTGGCCGGATCTAGGCTCACTGCAACCTCTGCTTCCCACATTCAAGCAATTCTCCTGCTTCAGCCTCCCGAGTAGCTGGGACTACAGGTGCACGCCACCACGCCCAGCTAATTTTTGTATATTTAGTAGAGACAGGGTTTCACCATGTTGGCCAGGATGGTCTCAGTCTCTTGACCTTGTGATCCGCCCACCTCGGCCTCCCAAAGTGCTGGGATTACAGGTGTGAGCCACCGTTCCCGGCCCTAAAATATTTTTTTAAATTTATTTTTAATTGTGGGCTGGGCGTGGTTGCTCACGGTGGCTCATACCTATAATCCCAGCACTTTGGGAGGCCGATGTGGGCAGATTACTTGAGGCCAGGAGTTTGAGACCAGCCTGGCCAACATGGTGAAACATTTATCTAATAAAAATACAAAAATTAGCCCCGGGTGTTGTGGCATGTGCCTGTAATCCCAGCTACTTGGGAGGCTGAGATGGGTGAATGACTTGAACCCAGGAGGCAGAGGTTGCAGTGAGCCAAGATCATGCCACTGCACTCCAGCCTGGGCAACAGAATGAGACTCTGTCTCAAAAAATAAAAGAAAAGAAAATTGTGGTAAAATACATGTAATATAAAATTCACTTCACCATTTTTAAAGTGTATAACTAAGTAATGTTTACTATATTCACATTATTGTATAACAGATCTCTGGAACTTTGCATCTTGCAATACTGAAACTCTGTATCTGTTAAACAACTCCTTATTTCCCCTTCCTGCCAGCACCACGGAACCATCATTCTACTTTTTGTGTCCACGATTTTGACTATAGATATTTCACATAAGTGGAATCCTACAGAATCTGTCCTTTTATAACTGGCTTATTCATTCAGCATAATATTCACAAGGTTCATCCATGTTGTAGCATGTGACAGAATGTCCTTCTTTTTATAAGGCTGAATAATACTCTCTTGTACGTATATGCCACATTCTCTTTATCCTTTCATGTGTTCACAGGCATTGGACTGCTTCTCTTCTAGGCAATTGGGAGTAGTGCTGCAATGAACATGGGTGTGCAAATATCTTGTCAAGATCCTGCTTTCAGTTTTTTTGGATATATACTCAGAAGCGGAATTGCTGGATCATATGGGAATTCTATTTTTAGTGTTTTGAAGAATCATGTTAACTTTTAAACAAATAGCCCCATTCTCATGGACTGTAGTGCAATATGTTAAGAGGTGGCATATTGGCTTCCCTCTAATTAAATTGAAAATAGCAATCATGCTCATATATAACCATTAAAATATGTTTAAACTTCTTACTTAAGATGCACCAATTACGCTGTTGGCAACTGTAGATGCTTTCATTTCCTCCCGGTCTCAGTCAACAAGCTGTTCTTTACTTTTATCAACCCCTTCCCCCAATATCAGGGTCACTAGAGCAGAAGATTCATGATGGAAGGACCTGTTTTGTTCAATACTGTGCCCCAAGTAACTAGCACAGTAGTTGGCATAGAATAGCCTCATAAAGAATGGATAAATGAATGAGCGAGCGCATGAATAAAAAGACCATGTTGCTAGGAATAGTAGAAAAAATTGAACTTAGCCCCAGGAGTGAGAGGCTTAGCTCCAGCAAGCAGGAAGTGGAACACAGATGGCAAAGAGACATTTGATGACATGAATTTTGCCAGAATGATGATTCCATCCCTAGGATGAATTGAGACTAAAGCTCTGATGATCACATAGGATCATACCAACCATGAAGATCTGGGGAATTGGGGAACCCATGGAATGCTTTCAGATTAATGGGATTGTGCTCTACGAAGAAAAAGCCAAGGGAGTGCTAGTAGTACAGGACCTTCTTCCCCTTCTCTTTTTCTTTTCCTTTTTTTTGAGACAGTCTCACTCTGTTGCCAGGCTGGAGTGCAGCGGCAGATCCCAGCTCACCGCTACCTCCGCCTCTGGGGTTCAAGTGATTTTCTTGCCTCAGCCTCCCGAGTAGCTGGGACTCTTACAGGTGTGTGCCAGCATGCCCAGCTTATTTTTGTATTTTTAGTAGAGATGGGGTTTCAACATGTTGGCCATGATGGTCTTGATCTCTTGACCTCGTGATCCACCACCTTGGCCTTCCAAAGTGCCGGGATTGCAGGCTTGAGCCACCGCGTCTGGCCCTTTCCCTTCTCTTCTGCGAGACAGCATGGACTCTGGGGTTTGGGTGGCTGGGGCGAGGAGCATCGGAAGCAAAAGCATTGTCACACCAAGTTGCATATTCCCTGCCAGCCAGGTTGCTGCACATGAGGCTGACTGAAGCCCTCTGCTGGGGACTGGAGTGTGAAGTAAAGAGGGCTTCAACACACCAAGAGTGGTTATCCTCTCACGAAGGAAGCAAGCTCTCCTTCTAAAGGCTGCTGACCTTACATCTTTGCACTTGATACATATCTTAAGAAATGAACTGGAGAAAATGGGATTATACTATATCAGTAGAAATTAAACTTAATACAAAAATATCATGAATTTATAAAGGATATATAGACCCTGAAGCATATTGTTCAGTGGAAATGATGCTGTCACATATCTGAAGCATTAATGAATTGTAAGTTCGCTTCCATTCAAATGAAGAGATGAAATTCAAGAGAAACATACTTTGAATAGGCATGTCCCCCCAAAGGGATAAAAGACAAGGTATGGTTGCTTAGTGATTACATTAAATAGTTTCTCATTCCCTAGTCACGAGTTTAAATTTCACTAACAAATCAATACAGTGAATAGTGGGATCTTTTATTTATTGCTTTATAGAGGAGTCAGCATGGCTTAATAGAAAACTCACAAACTTGGGCTCAGAAGATCTGCATTCAGGTGTTAGTATTGCCTCGACCACGTTAGCCTTTTAGAGAATTACCAGTTTCCATCACACACACTGCCAACAGTGTGAGACAGATCTGACCATGTTTCTCCCCAACATAAAATTCTTCATGGAGATAATTTTATTCCTATACGGCAAATTATGAACATCTCTATATAGTACATTCTTTCATTATTTGACTCCTTTTTTTTTTTTTTTTTTTGAGACAGAGTTTCGATGTTGTTACCCAGATTGGAATGAGTGCAATGGCACGATCTCGGCTCACCTCAACCTCCGCCTTCTGGATTCAAGCAATTCTCCTGCCTCAGCCTCCCAAGTAGCTGGGACTACAGGCGCGCACCACCATGCCAGCTAATTTTTGTATTTTTAGTAGAGACGGGGTTTCACCTTGTTGACCAGGATGGTCTCGATCTCTTGACCTCATGATCCACCCGCCTCGGCCTCCCAAAGTGCTGAGATTACAGGCATGAGCCACCGCGCCCGGCCTATTTGACTCCTTCTTACCTAGCCAGCCTTAACTTACATCATTTGCCCCTCGCTTCATGTCAGGCAACACTGAACAGTAGGTAGTTCTTTTGGTATATATCATGCTCATTCATACTTATTCTGCTTAAAATTCTCTTTTCATTCATTTGGCAAACGTTTACTCATTTTTTATGTCACTGCTTAACTGCCACTTCTGGACTGGCGTGGTGGCTCATGCCTGTAACCCCAGCACTTTGGGAGGCCAAGGCAAGTGGAGTAGTTGAGCTCAGGAGTTTGAGACCAGTCTGGGCAGCCTGGCAAAACTGTCTTTTAAAAATACAAAAAAACTAGCTGGGCTTAGTGGTGCATACCTGTAGTCTCAGCTACTTGGGAGGCTGGGATGAGAGAATCGCTTGGGCCCAGGAGGTGGAGGTTGCAAGTAGCAAGATTGTGCCACTGTACTCCAGCCTGGGCGATAGAGGAAAACCCATCTCAAAATAATAATAATAATAAACAAACAACAAAGAAAGTGTATAAATATATACAAAATTCAAATGAAGTGTAGAAAGTCAAATGTCCCTTAAAAACACAATCCCTGGCACATGCCTGTAATCTCAGCTACTCATAGGCTGAAGCAGGACAATCACTTGAACCCAACAGGCAGAGGTTGGCTGTGAGCCAAGATCGAGCCACTGCACTCCAGTCTGAATAAGAGCAAATCTTTGTCTCAAACAACAACAACAACAACAAAACACTCCCAACTGGGCATGGTGGTTCAAGCCTGTAATCCCAGCACTTTGGGAGGTGGAGGTGGGTGAATCACTTGAGGTCAGGAGTTGGAGATCAGCCTGGCCAACATGGTGAAACCCATCTCTACCCAAAATACAAAAATTAGCCGGGTGCGGTGACTCATGCCTTTAATCCTAGCTACTAGGGAGGCTGAGGCAGGAGAAATGCTTGAACCTGGGAGGTGGAGGTTGCAGTGAGCCAAGAGAGTGCCACTGAACTCCAGCCTGGGTGACAGAGCAAGACTCTGTCTCAAACAAAAACACAAACACACTCCCCAAGATAGCTTTTATTAATGTAAGAACAGGGACCATGCGTTCACATCTTTGAATGTTCAGAACATAGCAATGTACATAAGAGTTTTCACTAAATGCTGTTGAAAGGATGAATTTATAAAATGGAGATGGCCTAATTGACTGTACTTGCCAATAGCATTGTAGTGATGGAATCATGCAACATAAAATGAATATGAAAGTTCTCAAGCACAAAACTGTGTGATAAGTGACTGACACCTCTGCACCTCATTTTATTTGACCTTTACTACCAGGCAAACTTAGTTTCAGTGATGATATGATAATAATTAACGGCTAACATTTATTGAACACTTCTTATATCCAGAGCACTATATTAAATATTTAGCCCATATTAAGGCATTTAATTTATCACAAAGGGTAAGGATAGTAATTTCCACATTCTTTTTCTTTTCTTTTCTTTTCTTTTCTTTTTTGAGACAGAGTTTCGCTGTTGTTACCCAGGCTGGAGTGCAATGGCACGATCTCGGCTCACCGCAACCTCCGCCTCCCGGGTTCAAGCAATTCTCCTGCCTCAGTCTCCTGAGTAGCTGGGACTACAGGCGCACACCACCATGCCCAGCTAATTTTTGTATTTTTAGTAGAGATGGGGTTTCTCCATGATGGCCAGGCTGGTCTTGAACTCCTGACCTCAGGTGATCCACCCACCTCGGCCTCCCAAAGTGCTAGGATTACAGGTGTGAGCCACCGCGCCCGGCCCCCACAGTTTTTTTTTTATATGAGGTAACTAAGATCCAAAGAAGTTGTAACTTGCCCCCTTAAAATCACAGAAGTGGTAAGTAACACAGCCAGAATTTAAACCCAGGCAATCTGGCATCTGAGTCAACACTGTTAACCAATTTATATAAAAACGAATTCATTCAAAAACCAATTAATTCTTATACAAAATCCTGAGGCTGAGCCCCGGAGCTCTTATTTCCCATACTTACATTGCTTGCTTCAATTTTGGAATCATAATCAACTTTACTTCTGTAAACCTCTGTTTTCTCATATATAAAATGAACATCTTAGTGGTTCTTATCTTAAAAAGTTGTTTGCAAGGATTGTCTCTAACACTGCCTGTCTTATTTCATTTTCTGTTATTATAATACAACAAACTGGGTAATTTATAAAGAAAAATCGTAGGCTGGGCGCAGTGGCTCATGCAAGTAATCCCAGCACTTGAGGAGGCTGAGGCAGGAGGACCACGAGGTCAGGAGTTTGAGACTAGCCTGGGTAACATAATGAAACCCTATCTCTACTAAAAATACAAAAATTAGCCAGGAGTGGTGGTGTGCACCTGTAGTTCCAGCACTTTGGGAGGCTGAGGCAGGTGGATACCTGAGATCAGGAGTTCGAGACCAGCCTGATCAATATGGTGAAACCCATCTCTACTAAAATTACAAAAATTAGCTGGGTGTGGTGCCATTCACTTGTAGTCTCCCAGCTACTGGGGAGGCTGAGACAGGAGAATCACTTGAACCTGGGAGGCAGAGGTTGCAGGGAGCTGAGATTGCACCACTGCACTCCAGCCTGGGCAACAGAGCAAAACTCTGTCTCAAGAAAAAAGAAAAAGAAAGTCGGGTGTGGTGGCTCACGCCTATAATCCCAGCACTTTGGGAGGCCAAGGCAGGTGAATCTCGAGGTCAAGAGATCGAGACCATCCTGGTCAACAAGGTGAAACCCCGTCTCTACTAAAAATACAAAAATTAGCTGGGCATGGTGGCACGCGCCTGTAATCCTAGCTACTCTGGAGGCTGAGGCAGGAGAATTGCTTGAACCCAGAAGGCGGAGGTTGCGGTGAGCCGAGATCGTGCCATTGCACTCCAGTCTGGGTAACAACATCGAAACTCCGTCTCAAAAAAAAAAAAAAAAAAAAAAAAAAAGAAAAGAAAAAGAAAAAAATTAGGCTGGGTGAAGTGGCTCATGCCTGTAATCCCAGAGTTTGGGAGGCTGAGGCAGGTGAATCACTAGGTCAGGAGTTCGAGATCAGCCTTGCCAACGTAGTGAAACCCTGTCTCTACTAAAAATACAAAAATTAACCGGGCGTGGCAGTGTGCACCTGTAATCCCAGCTACTCAGGAGGCTGAGGCAGGAGAATCACTTGAACCTGGGAGGCAGAGGTTTCAGTGAGCTGAGATGGTGCCATTGCACTCCAGCCTGGGTGATAGAGTGAGACTCCATCTCAAAAAAAAAAAAGAAAAAATTATTTTGTTTTTGCCTCTGGAGGCTGGGAAGCCTGAGGGCATGGTGGCCAGCATCTGCTCAGCATTATGTAAGGGTCTTCTAGCCCATCATCCCATGGCAGAAGGCAGAAAAGAAAAAGAGCATTCACATGTGCAAGAGAGAAATAGAACTCACAGTCTCAAGCCTTTTTATAATGGGCATTAATCCTTTCATGAGGGTGGAGTCCTTATAACCTAAACACCTTCTCTTAGCCTTCAACTCTCAACACTGTTGCATTGGAGATTGAGTTTCTGACGTATGCCTTTTGGTGCACACACTCAAACCATTGCACTGCTTCAGGTAGCAACGCCAAGAAGGCGATCAAACAGCACCCAGAGTTTGTGATTTCTTTTTCTTTTTTGACATAGAGTTTCGCTCTTGCTTGTCACCCAGGCTGGAGTGTAATAGTGCGATCTCTGTTCACTGCAACCTCTGCCTCCCGGGTTCGAGTGATTTATCTGCCTCAGCCTGCTGACTAGCTGGGATTACAGGTGCCCACCACCACGCCTGGCTACTTTTTGTATTTTTAGTAGAGACCGATGTTCACTGTGTTGGCCAGGCTGGTCTCGAATTCCTGACCTCAGGTGATCTGCCTGCCTTGGCCTCCCAAAATGCTGGGATTACAGGTGTGAGCCACCACGCCTGGCGGTGATTGTTTGCTTTGCAACAGACACAGCAGTAAAGAGAAGCAAAAGGACCACACTGCTGCAAAAAACAAGCAACCCTAACCTAGAAGGAACTATTAATTAAATATCTATTCATGAATGCATTTGCATGGCCAGATTAATGAGGTGAAGGTTCAGCACTCTAACTCTGTCCTTATCAGTCATGGCCAAGTAATGAGGCTTCTGTGGAAAAGAATATATGTATTGACAGGATGGGACACTTCTTATTAATTCAGTTATTTGGCTTTGGTCAATGCTAATGATGGTAATGGTTGACGGCTACGTACACTGGGGAATCATCAGAAATGGAAATAAAAATCTACAGCATGTCATGCATGTAACTGCAGAGGTGTGGGTAAAGAACAATGGAAACAGAGCAAACAGCACTGCCAGGAGCCTGCAGGTGGCATTCAGTTCCAGAATAGCCATCC